CCATCAATATGAAGTGATCGTACTACTAGCCAAATAAGTAAAGTTTAAAAACAGCTTTCCCTACAGTAATGCCGTTTATTACCACCCCAAGTGAAAACTATTTTAGTTTGGTGTAACCTGTTCATTAAGAGTTATTTATCAACAGAAGAAAATGAAATTATAAACGTGAAGTTCTCACTCTTGATTAAACAAAGTCATGTGGTTTTACTCTTATTCCCATCCATTATTAATGAAGTTATTAATACTATAAAAAAATGCTTAGACATCTTTCCATTTAGCGAGGTTGAATAAAATATTATTTCTTTTCCCATGACACGTTTAAGTCGGCAATTTAAACACACACAGGAAAACTGTTTAGTACACCAATTATAAACAGAATGCGTTTTCTCTTTCATTGTGTAATAAAAATGTATGTATCAAAATATAAGATTGCTTTAAGCATGAATGACGGGAATTTATAAAATATAAAACAAAATTTGATTTAAAAATTAAAATGTAAAGTGTGTTACAGACGATACCACTGTAGTTTGTTTTTTTGTTTGTCTTTAGGTGTTTAAGTTGCTTTGTTTTTCTTAAATATTATTGTTTAATTATTTTGGGGTTGAAAAGTATTAAATTAGCTTCTGGTAATTTTACTGTTGTTGCACACAGGTTAATTTAATTTTGGACAATGAAGAGTTATATTCGTCATTGTAAGTTTTAATATCACTGAGTTATAAACTAACATGGATTTGAATTTCAGATGAAAATTATTATTTAACAAATAACGCCATCGAATTAAGTGCTGCTGTAAATGATACATGAATTTTGTAAAAGTATTAACTTAAGTCTTGATTTACAAAGTTCGTGTGTACAGGAGCAGTTCACTTTTATTTTTTCCCTAAGATATGTGAGCCTACGAAATGGAAACTAAGCTATAACTGAAATAAAACCTTCGAAACGGAAAACTAAATGTAGCTGAAGCAGATTAGTTAAGTTTCACAAAACAAAAGGCTTTAGAACAATACTAGAATACTAGAAACACCTAACTGTCTCTGAAATTTTTTTGGACATTTTCATTGACTAAAAAGAAGGCATTTACCCACACTTTTAGCGTTGGGGCTGCGTAAAGTGATTTGAACTGGTAAGGTGACTAAAATCCGTTAGCGCATCACGAGCTTAACAGCCAAGCACAAGAAGCATAAAAGTTTCCAAATGACACGCAGAGGTATTCAGGAACGTTTAGAACAACCTTGGTAGATATTGTACAGCAAGTCGGGTACAATGTTATGTCTTTAGCTGCTTTCAAAGTATTTCTGTGTGCTCATCCAACTGTTGACTATCGTGATGCTTCGACCTTCCCTACCGAATCGCAGGTGAAATCGTTCGTATCTCAATTGAAAGCTAAACATACAAAGATGATAGCAGAAGCATAAAAGATTAGCAATTGCTTAATTAATGATGTTGAGAATATGGTTTTATTGATATATACTGAATTTACTCCCAGCGGGTTGACCTTAGTACTAGCTAGTATGGAGACTTGAGGGTGCTGTATTTCACTTACAGATTTATCAATTAACAAATGAAGACTTGTCTCGAAAATGTACGTCCAAAACCACCCTCTTTGGAAGTTTCCGGATTAAATTTATTTTTAATATTCAACAAATCGTAGAGTAAAGACATTCCTTGGCTCTTGAGGGACGTGTTAAAATAGAACTAACGATTTTCTATTGGCTAAGGAACATAATCACATGTTTAAAGTTTACCAACGACTCTTGGTAAATTTCAGTGTAATTATTAGTTATAGTGTTAGGTGTCCGCAGTATTCAAAGTATTATTGAAAAACGATAGAAATCAATGCGGAAGGTGAAACGTTTTTTGTTTTGTTTTATCTGCATTTGAAAAAATTTCTTCTACGTCCATTTCTTAACTATCTCTTAACTATTTCTTAACCCCTTGGATTAATCCTTCCATCATCGACTGAGCTTAGACTTATAGCCATGATCACCCGCTACTGTACAACAGCAACGAGCTTTCACTGTTTATTTATTAGTTATAGTGTTAGGTGTCCGCAGTATTGTGGATATATAGTATTCTATAAGAACGATGATCCAAGTGCTACCCACCCCTTGGATTAATCTTCCATCATCGACTGGGCTTAGACTTATAGCCATGATCACCCACTACTGTACAACAACGTAATTTCCATTGCAACGAGCTTCTATGAAGGGCAGCGAGGTCAATCTTAGGCCACTACTCTTGATAAACTTTCCACAGACCCGTTCTGTACGTAGGTCTCAAAGGCTTCATTTAAGCAAAATAGCGGCACAATAGCCCACTAAAGCTGCAATAGAAATTTGAAGGTATGTGATTAACTGGGATTGCCGTGATTCCAGTTTCTTTAGCTACCTTTCTCATGAGTTCGAGGTGACTAGAGGCTTGAGAACTTTCTAGCTTCAAACCCTTGTTTCTTACTTCGTTTGGTTAACGGTATCAAGAGATATGCAAAACTTCATTGCAATGTTATTCTTGTTTTGGTGGAGTCAGATGTATTTCTTTTGTAACCGTAGCCTTCATTTTGCGTACAAGGGCGTTGGTTCAAATTGACTTGCATGGTGCATGGGGTCTGAGTACGTTTCTCACCTAAACACTCTGCTGTGCTCGATTTCCCGCTCTCATGGAGAGTACACAAGACCCCTTTGTTTGAAATGTTGTATCCTTTGGCTTTACTATTTTTAAACAATATACTAGACGAATGTTCTTCCTGGGAAAAGCCTATAGCATATAATCATGCAGCCATAAGGATACCCTAACGGCATTGCACTTTCGAATGTCCAAGAACCTGCCGCGAATCAAATATAAAGGTGCCAAATATGTCGCCCACGTTGCCATAATTCACATCTGCAGCAACATGGCACTGCATTGGCATATGTAAATCATATCTTAAAATGCCCCCCCCCCCCAGTGGCACAGTGGTATGTCTGCGGACGTACAACGCTAGAAACCGGGTTTCGATACCCGTGGTGGGCAGAGCACAGATAGCCCATTGTGTAGCTTTGTGCATAACTACAAACAAACATCTTAAAATGTGCGAAGTCAGCCCCTGCATTCACATCGCTCACTAGCTATGAACATTTTTATTTGTTTAAGGGCCTGTTAAGCTTCTCACCCCCCCCCTCCATCCCCAAAACAATCATAAATTAAACGCTTGCTCAGAATTAGTTAATAAGTAATGAAAATAATAAACATTACCTGAATAGATGATCTTCGGGGACTGCTCAGGAATGGACTCGGGTTTTCTATATGAAACAAACTTTTATTTTTAAATATTTTTACAAACCAACAGTATTTATTTTCCTAGCTTAAGCATTCTTTCTTCCAGATTCTTAAAACTTGGAATATAAAAGTGGTTATAATTTAGATTGTGGTATAAATAGAATAATAGAAGATTAGCATACTAAGGAAAGGGGGATAAAACTTGAGATTATATGACAAAAAGTAGAGCCCAATGCTCATACCTGCCCTTTTAAAATCTTATTACAGTAATAAAAATAATGGTGGTGCAGCATTATTGGCTTATTGATGCAACTAAAACACGTTATGAACCATATTGTAATGAAGTGTTGTGATAATTTTAATTATCAGTGAATTTCATGTACGGAAAATTTGTAAAACTGATTTGAACCGGCCTCAATAACAGTTTATAACACTTTTCTTAGTTTGGATGCAATAGTTGTCATGCATGGGAACGTAATGGGGGGGGGCGTACATTTAAGCACCTGACGTTTTAACCAGCACCCAACTACAATGTGCAAACGTGTTTCTAATGAAATCATTCAATCCACTCCCTACTTACTAAAACCTGCATCACTCAATAGTTAACAGCGTCAATTAAACAGTTTACTTTATATTCCCATACTCTTGAGAAAACTACACGTGAATCCTGGTTTTATCCTAGACATGAATAAAATTAAATACAGATATAACTGACTGACATATTTTCAAAATACATCCGGAAATTAATATTTGTTAAAAAGCTATGTAAGTCAGTTTTTCTTTCTACAAAAACAATTAATTTTTAATATGGTCGTTATTAAATTAATCCTTACATTATAAACTAAAAAAGGATGCTTTTATCAACGTACCTTATAATTTTCAATTCTATCAAGATTCCTTTATTCGTGACAGTAATTAATAATTCATTATTCTCAATGAATAAAATAAAACAGAAAACGTGAAAAGACAGTAGACCCATTCTTATAAAATTCACGACCTATTTTATCTTCTATATTTTACGTTATGATATCTAAAATATGACACCACGGAAGCGACATTGTTGCGCGCACAAACATGACAGCAAAAAAAAAACACAGAAAGAAACGCGTTTCCTTCTTAGATGACAGAAAATAAAGCCATCTAAAGACACCTTGAATACAATCAAGACATACAGTAGTGTATCGTGCGGCCAGAACAACTTGCTGCAGGACAAACTGTGTGTTATTAAACAGGAGCCACCCAGTGGCACAGTGGTATGTCTGCGGACTTACAACGCTAGAAACCGGGTTTCGATACCCGTGGTGGACAGAGCACAGATAGCCCATTGTGTAGCTTTGTGCATAAATTCAAACAAAAAAAATTAAACAGGAATGATAATTTAGCGATTTTGTGTAATCTGTGGTAATCCCAATTATCACATATTTTCAGTGGATGTGCGCTACTTGACTCTTACTTCAAATATCAGATTTCAAGACAATCCATTAAGAAGTACCTGATGTAACGTTTCCAATTTTAATTGAGTTTCTTCCTCTTTTTTTTTTCGCACCAAAAGTACGGAGACTTTATTTGATAGAAAAACATATTTAACTTTACCTACAATTAAGAGTCTCATTTGGTGTAAATATAAACCACATGTACAAAGTTATTCAACAAAAACCGCTCACATTTAACGAACATTTTTGCGCACCCCTACACAAAAGGTCACGTGAGCTATCGGTCTAACATTTTTATTACAGCTTCACCTAAAAGTTAAAGTGGACCGTTTTTAGTTTTTTGTAATTGGGATTAAAGACGGCTGACTTAGAGCAGCAAAATTATAAGGTGAAAGACGTACAGATACATAAGTATTGGTTAGGCCAAGCAAACTAGATTAACTGTTTCTAGCTCATGTTTTCAAAAGAATTATACGGGTGGACAGTTATTATTGATTATTCATTGTCAACTTTTAAGCTGAAGTTTACTAAATTTTATAAAATTATCATAATTAAAGAGCGTTTAGCGTCATGTGATATTAGCTTAAGCAATTAGCATAAATTAGCATGGGGATGATGACAAGAAACTGTTAATCTAAATTCCATGGCGTTGCTATAAAGTAAGCTATTAACACTCTTTTAAAGAGGAAAACTACCAACATATATTTTAAAGAATCTGGTTGGTTCTGTAAAGTAAAGGTCTCTTTCGTATAATAGAGTTGCGATCCTAAAGTTAATGTGGGTTACTATCAAGTGTCACTTTCTTACTTGCTGTGGATTGTTGGTGTGTATTGACAAAAAGACGTAATATCTAATCAAAAACACCTTAGGTGTGAAAAAACGTGCGGCCAAAAAGGAATGAAATCAAAATTAGCGACCAAACTGGTACTTACACTTATAGCATTGATAAGGATTTTACAGCAAATATTCATTCATTAGTACGCCAGGCCTCGTTTTTTGTTATACCCACCACCATGCCCCAAGTTGAACAAAATACGCTGCCTAGCTAACTAATTAATGAATATTTGCTGTGAAATCCTTATCAATGCTATAAGTTTGGCTGACAGTTTTGATTTCATTCCTTTAAGTCGCACACTCAATCCTTTGTTGGCCGCACATTTTTTTTCACACCTAAGGTGTTTTTGATTAGATTAATTTCGACATGAAGATTTTTTACAGACTTTGCCCAAAATTCTAAATATTTATATAATTTGTTGGTCAGAAATATTTTTTTTTTTTTACAAAACAAAATGCCACACGTAAATATATTATTACTCAATAAATTTACTTTTGTTTAGAAGGCCTAGTGATTAGGAGCTCGACTCGCAATCTGCAGGTCGAGAGTTCGAATTCCATCATCAAACATGTTTGCCCCTTTCAGATGTAGGAGCCGTTGTAATGTGACTGTTAATCCCACTATTCAGTTAGAGTAACTCTGAGTCGGCGGTGGGAGGTTTTGACTATCTGTCTTCCCCCTAGTCTCTCACTTCTAAAGTATGAACGGCTTGCGCAGATAACCCTCGAGTAGCCTTGCGCGAAATTCTACAAAATAGATTTTTTATCAACTTACCGCTAGAAAAAATCGCTCGTATTCTGGGATCACAAGATCTTTGCATGGTTGACGTGAGAGCTCTCGTTTTATCTTCGACATTCTTCTTAACCAAGTCTGTTGCATCATAAGATACCTGAAATCATTCAATCTCCACTTTAATGCTTCTGTTTATTTGTTTGGTTAGAGAACTTCAATAAAATGATTTCTAAAAAAAATAGCTAGAGGTATTTTTCGACAATATTTTTTCCCGTAATCGGAAGCGATATTTGATCATAGTGATATGTTAAAACCAGGATAACTTTCTCATTTATAAACCTTTTCGGGTAAATTTCGTTATCTCAGTAAGTTTGTAGTTACACTGTTATAAGATTACACTTTCAACCAGATAAGATGTGGGAAAAGTGATAAAATACAACTTTGCCTTCTCCCAGAGCTGTGGAAATTTATTAGCTATTTCACTACTTACCCGGAAATAATGTTTGTCACGTTTGAATCTAGCTTGGGCTGCTATATCATTGTGCTGCTCTTGAGAATCAGTCGAAAACATTTACAGATACCAGACAAACATTTTGATTATTACTCGAGTACTAGTCGCGTCTGGTAATTTGACTTCTGAGCTGTGGGGGATACGGGGAGAAGGGAGCCTTTGATTCAGTTTTAAATATCTTATTCTGGCAGTGTAGTTTCGGTGGCCCACTCAGAAGTTACTGTGGCTCCCTAATTTTCCGTCATTCACGTGTGCTCCCTTAGAAACATGGCGTGGCCCACGTTGAGAACCACTGGTTTAGAGAAATCTATAGCCAGTAGTTGTCAACATTTTAAGCATAACAAAATGCGACCCGATTTCAATGAAAATGATTCATTTATGTAAAAGTACATATGGCGTTTTGTGAAAAAATCTGTACGTGATGGAGAAAAATGGATATCATTTTTGGATTCAGCATACAGGAATTACTGCAGAAAATGTAAACATTTCAGGATAATAAAACCATCGCAAGCCTCTGGTTTTAGTCGGGTGACTTATTTGCTATCAAAAATACGTAACCGCTTTGATGTTGTGAAGAGAGGTGATCTTCCCTTACCACTGACGACACTGCAACCGGACATTCAAAGCCTTTCAAGTGTTCATGAGGCCCAAGAATCACACTGAATATAATGTCAATGATTAACAGAATAGTTTTTACTTGTATAAGTAAGCAGTATGTTATAAACAAAATATTTAAAAACAATACAATATTGTAAAAATAATATTATAATATTATAAATATATTATAAATCAACAGTGTTAAAATGAAGTAACTTTTTCCCTAAGTAACAGCGTCTACGAAGGGTGGGGCCACAGATATAAATCAAACTCAAAAGGGCAAAAAAAAGTTGAGAAACACAGCTCTAGACCAATCGCGACGTGAGAGTCTTATCGATCGTTCTAGAACACAAACATAATAATATAAAATGTTAATTATAGTAAACGAAATAATAATTTGATCTAAGTAAGAGTTTTTTCTTCCCGATTTGAAAAAATACGTGATAAAAAATGAATATTATTTTCGAAATCTGCGTAGCTCAGTTATGGAAAATCCGTTGTTAAAACCAAAACAACTTTTATAAAGTTTAAATTCTCATGGCTGTGTTATTTGTCGGTAGCATAGTTGTATAAATATCATGTTCTGATGATCTTAAAGTGAATTCCTAATTCTCTACTCATAAAGAAATACCTACCTTATAAATACCATTAAGTTTTCAGATAATGGTAGCTCTGGTAAAACAAGTTGTATACACACACACACACACACATATATATATATATATATATCTTGGAAAATAGTGAATGTTGAAGTTTCTCAAGGCAGTATACTTCCAACATGGAGCATTTGCGTAAGTATTTTAAATATATTTTCAAACATTGTATATCAGATTTTTATGTTTTCTCGTTGGATTATTTTGTTTCTTCTATTAAAGAATGCATCCACGTTACAGCAGTCATACAGCAAAACAAAATAAGCGAGATGTGTTTAGCCATAGCTTAAGAACATAATACAGTTATTTTAATAACTAAACACCAATACACATTCCAAGGGCCTGGTAGTTAGGGCGCTTGGATCGCGAGTTCAAAGCCCTGTTACCGAACATGCTGCCAGCCACCCAGTTGTAAAAATCCTTGGCTTAGAACCGGCCGACACCAAATTAGTTAGGATTAAGGTCGTAAAGGGGGTAAAATTTATTTCAAGAAAGAACGACTATTCTAAAACGTTACAGTTACGATACGACAAAAATGATACTATTAACATAAAAAATCACCACAAACCTTTCTAAAAATGTGTTTTACTGAAACGATAGGTTTTCCGTTTACATTAGAGAATTCAACCAATTCTTCAGAGTCTGCTTCCTGAAGACTCTCTGTAAAAATAAAACAGTTTCAATCATGAATAAATTATAGTCACCCTGACTAATGTCCTCCCATTGCGTAAGTGGTGAATCTTAGGAATTACATAGCTAAAATCAAGGGTTTGATTCCCAGCGGTGGACAGAGCACAAATAACACATTGTGTAGCTTTTCAAAAAACATGTGCCCCATGATAAATACTACTATGTAAAAAATATATACTTTCGGTTAATAAAAGAAACGCTTTTAATAAATATACTTTCAGCTAGTAAAAAACATTCATATATCACAGATCCCTACATATCAGCACCATTACACACCTATATACCCTATATAACAGCACTGCTACACACCTACATAAAACATATACCCTATATAACAGCACTGCTACACACCTACACAAAACATATACCCTATATAACAGCACCATTACACACCTATAAAAACATATACCCCATATAACAGCACTGCTACACACTTACATAAAACATATACCTCTATATAACAGCACTGCTACACACCTACATAAAACATATACCTCTATATAATAGCACCGCTACACACCTACATAAAACATATACCTCTATATAATAGCACCACTACACACCTACATAAAACATATTGTTACGTCTCCGTTTGTTAATTAATTTTCCTCAAATTCGTTCCGACGAAACTTTAGCGACACAAATCCTTTTTTAAATAAAACTGGTTTATTCTTTCCGAATACAATTTTACGATATACCTAATTTCAACAACGCTATCACTTACGTCTCACGTGGCCAACAATATTTTGTCCGCATACATTCAATTACTCATTATCTCCTGCGTCGCTTCGTGGCCGGTCTTATATATACAAAACTCACTATATCTAGTAATCTCCCGACAC